CCCAATGTTCATCGCAGCACTGTTTATAATAGCCAGGACATGGAAGCAACCTAGATGCCCATCAGCAGACGAATGGATGAGGAAGCTGTGGTACATATACACCATGGAATATTACTCAGCCATTAAAAAGAATTCATTTGAATCAGTTCTAATGAGATGGATGAAACTGGAGCCCATTATACAGAGTGAAGTAAGCCAGAAAGATAAAGACCATTACAGTATACTAGCACATATATATGGAATTTAGAAAGATGGTAATGATAACCCTATATGCAAAACAGAAAAAGAGACTCAGATGTATAGAACAGACTTGTGGACTCTGTGGGATAAGGCGAGGGTGGGATGTTTCAAGAGAACAGCATCGAAACATGTGTATTATCTAGGGTGAAACAGATCACCAGCCCAGGTTGGATGCATGAGACAAGTGCTCGGGCCTGGTGCACTGGGAAGACCCAGAGGGATCGGGTGGAGAGGGAGGTGGGAGGGGGGACTGGGATGGGGAATACATGCAAATCCATGGCTAATTCATTTCAATGTATGACAAAAACCACACACACAAAAAAATAGAGTTATATATTAAAAAAAAATAAAATAAAATAAAATTCACCTTATTATCATTATCTGCTCAGGTAAGTTGGCATTCTCACTTCAGCTAGTCTGACTAACCTAATTTTCTGCCAGTGTGAATGGTAATAATGAAAACCATGGTAAAATAAGAATTTTTAAATATATAAATCTTTAATAAAAACACACTTTTTCTGTACAAAAAGCAAAACAACCGAAACATTGCAGAGTGTTTATAGTACCAGGCTTTAACTATTATTTATAACTTTTTATGGAACAGGATTTTTGAATTTAAACTCAGGATAACAAGACACCATCTCTTTCTACTTCAGTATTAGAAACAGACTCAATCTTGGCAGATAGTAAGTGAATGTGTGCTAAGATACTTCAGTAGTGTACAACTCTTTGTGACCCTGGACTGTAGCTCACTAGGCTCCTCTGTCCATGGGATTCTCCAGTTAAGAATACTGGAGTGGGTTGCCGTGCCTTCCTCCAGGGGATCTTCCCAACCCAGGGACTGAACCCTCATCTCTTATATCTTCTGCATTGGCAGGCGGGTTTTTTTGTTTTTTACCACTAGTGCCATCTGGGAAGCCCAGAAATAGCAAGATTTGTGCTTAAGTCTTACTCGTCACAGTTTCCCTGAAAGGGATTCCTGGATGAATTCCACAGAAAGAAACCAGCATACAGGTGCAGTGGTGCCAGAGGAGACCCCACATGCCAAGGATAGAAGCTAAAATATTTGGGAAAACCCACAAGGGTTGTTATATTAAGGGAAGAGGTTTTCATCAGTGATGACTAGATTCCAGAATAAATGTCACAATACAAAGCAAGAAAACATTATTTGGGGTGCAGAAGGGGGCAATTATGATGGCATGTGAGTGGTATTAGGGGGACTAGTGATAGTAGCTTTTGAGTAGTATAACAGGGCTCATATTCATACATGGCTGTTCAAAAACTCCATATTTGGAAGGACTTTCAATGTGGAATTGATATTTAAATAAAACCAAATTAAGACAAACTATAGAAAGCCCACAGAAAAATAATAGAGCAATTATTTACTAATATAGTTAACACTGAGTATTACCATATGTCAGGTACTATGATTGTGATTTTATATGCATTATGTCATTTAATTTTTATAAAAATTCCATGAAGTAGGTTTTAATGCTATCCTCATTTTCCTAAGGGGTAGTCAGAATCTCAGAAATGATATGGGATTAAGGTCACTTATTAAGTGATAGGTCTGAGATACATACTTGGGTCTACTTAACTCTTGGCTCAGGTCAATTAAACTATTCTGTAAAGGCTACCATATTTAGGGCCAAGGCTTGTCACAAATAGCAAAATAATTTATACATTGAAATATTTACTGATGATAAGTGAACATCTTTAGATTTCTATTAGAAATAAACCTAAATTAGAATATCTACCTTTTTAAAAATCTTTTTGTATCTATAATTTTTTAGTACATTCCTGCCATCATATGCATCTATATTTTTGATAGATGATCATACACATATATTTTTCAAGGATGAAATTTATTTTACAAGTTATTCAATTGTTCTCATTAAGAACTAAGAAATATACAGCTTTTACCAATGACCATATCTTCCAATTCGAGGAAACTAGAGTCAGTCAGTGTTGAACATTTAAAAGTACATTTCAACATTCAATACTGTCTATAAATCATTCCATTCTTTCTTTGCCTCTCATCATTTTACAAAACATTTTACTGTAAACAAATTTGGGGGCCACTGTGTGATTATTCTCAGTTGGAAAGTATAGTGTTTCCCCTCCATGAAACTAGAACAGAAGGTCTGAGAGAAAGGAAATTATTAAGCATTCTACTGAGTTTTTCCCCCAACAAAAACTAAGATAGAGGTCAATGAATAAGTATGTGCAGACTGGAACTTGAATCCTCTAGGGTGACTGTAGGCTAATTAATAATTAATGCCAGAGTCACGGTGTTTGAAATGCAGATGTGATAACTGGAGGCCTGGCAGTGCTGTTCAGAGGAAGCAGATTTAGATGCTATAGGGAATAGGCACTCCCTTGCCGGCTGGCTCAGAGAGTCAGCCTGGGTGCAAAGCAGGGCCTATGGTTTAGATTATATTCCCCTCAGCTGTTAATTACCTGAACCTACTTTGAAGTTTTTCTCTTTTTATCCTCTGCATGAAAAGAGATTGGTTCAGCCAAGGGACTTAGAGAAATGATCAAATACAAGGGACGGAGGGAAGGGGGGTGGAAATAGAACTTCAGATATAAGAAGATAACGAAGAAAAACACATAGTAGAACATACAAGAACATACATTATTAGGAAATATTGAATTGTGGCTCATTGTTTCAAACACATTGTATTTCCTTCAGTTGTTATAATGAAGTTGATTTTAAGTAAATATGTAAACTTTCTCTAAACAGGTATAATAAAGAATTTTCATCTGTATTACTATATAAAGTAGTGATTTGACAAGAGACACATGTTTTTTAATGTCATGTTTAATTTAATAAAGTCACTTAAACATCTTAATATTTGTACTTACTGGTAAGGGCAATATTAATATAATCAGCCACAATTGCTTCTGTATAACCTGTCTGTGTTCAAATCACTGATCCTTACAACACAAATAAATGCCATTATTCAGTGAGAAAAACTAAAGGATATTAGAAAGTTCTGGAAATATGCTGCAATTGAAAAGAATCTGAAAATAAATGATGGTGCAGGTTTAACTGCATTAAAAAGCAGTTTGTTTTCAACTGTGTGTATGTATGTATGCAATTGAAGAAGCATGGCCACTAACTCTCTAATAAGTGGATTACAGTATGCTTGGATTAGATGTAAATTCAAAGTTTGGGTTTTTTCCCCATTTTTAACTGTTATTTCTAGTGCAACTACTCCAAGAAAAGCATCTGAGATACACGCTACACACATAAGAAAAAAAATTCTCTCTTCTGGTGAAAGAGCATGAAGTTATGAGATAACTAATTTTCAACTGTGAGAAGTATATCTTTTTGACAGGAAAATGGCACTGAAAGCACCATCAAAGGAAAATGTGTACTTATATTGAAATTGACGCCTGTGGATGCAATATCTCCTAGCTAAGGTGACATCAGATGCATACAACCAAGTGAGTCGGTAATGGACATTCAGTTCAGACAGAACACATAGACCATGCAGTGATCTAGATTTGGAGTTCTATTTCTGTACTGTTAATTTCTGTTTAAAGCAGCAATTTTGTGAGCAAGGTCCTTAAACTGTTAAGTCCAGGGGAAAAACTAAAAATTTTCTCAATAGAATATATTGCTCAGAATGCAAATTCCAAAAAGAAAAATGTAGGGCTTTCATCATTGTAGAATTATTATTATTTTTTATTTTAATATTGCTTTGTTGTTCTTTTTCTTTTTTTCTTGGCTACACCACAAAATTCCCACAACAAGAGATTGAACCCATGCCCCCTGCATTGGGAGTGCAGAGTCTTAACCACTGGACTGCCAGGGAGTCCCCATTGTACAATGTAAATTTCCTTAAGCAAGTACACAGTCATGTAACTAAAGGCCTCCTATCAAAAGCAAATCACAAAGGGAATTTTTACAATTTGTCTGTAATACAGCTTTCCCAGTTGTAGTTTTTATTTTAAGAACATATGTACAACACTAAAATTGTGGCTCAGATGGTAAAGGGTCTTCCTGCAATGTGGAAGACCTGGGTTCAATTCCTGAGTTGGGAAGGCCCCTGGAGGAGGGCATGGCAACACACTTCCAGTATTCTTATCTGGAGACTCTCCATGGAGAGAGGAGCCTGGCTGGCTACAATCCAAAGGGTCATGAAGAGTTGCACAGGACTGAGTGACTAAGCATAGCACAGCACAAGATTATGTAAAAATAACAAAAAGAAAATCCGTCTTCATGCAACTTCAACTTTGATATACTGACATAAGGCCAGAGGGCCAAATCACAGAAAGTAGAGTCTCCTTTCATACTGACTTTTATCACCAATCAGTTGTCTTTGCAGTATTATATTGTTAGAATTCAAAGTGTTCATGATAATGTAGCAATTTTTCAGGCTTTACATATAAACTTTGTATGTTGAATTCCTGCCACTAAGAAAAAGGAAAAATAAAGGAAGTTCTTGAAAGTTGAAGCTGAAAACCAGAGGCAAAATTTTTAAAAATTAACCACTTAGAGCCACACCTAAGATTTTCATGCCCATAGCTCTTTTCCCCTATGGGCATTCATGATTATTCACCTGGAACACAATTTTATTTATTTTATTTTTATTTTGATAAAAACAGTTCCACAGCATTTATTGTCATCTTGTAATAACATAAGGGTGAGCAGAACAATATGAATACATGTTTTAGAACTACATCTCTAACAAAGGACACCTAAAAAACCAACTGTATTACCAAACGATTTCTCACTTCATTGATCACTTCTAGTTGGAGACACTTTGGAGCAGAGTAATGGTATCTCCTTTTAGCATAATCTGACCCAGTTATTTTCTTGATTTTGTTTTAGAATGATGCAGCCCTCTATCTGCATATTCACTTGCTCATAAAGCCACACCTGAATCCGAGATCTATTTTGCAAGTATCTGAAGATGAGATTGATGGGCTGCACCATCACCTTCTGCACCTTCTGACACTGGTATGCCATGCTGGAAGCTCACAAACATCACACCACTCCACTGGAACACAATTTTAAAACATAAACACAGAAAAAAACACATTTCCTACACTGGAACTACAATTGTTTTCCAAATTTGAATTTAAAATTTTTGAATCATTGTTCCTTTTAGCAAATGAAACTACATTTAAGACTGTGACATTCAGGCTTCATTTATGCATTTTTAAACTTATATTTTTGTTATGTTAAAATATGCTAATTAATCAATAGATGTATATATACTTTCTATTTTGTTTTTACCACTTCTATCAGTTGATCAGTTCAGTTTAAAGAGAAAGATATTTGAAAACATTATCTCCAGCTTAATTTTGGTGTGAATAAATTTTAGCTTAGAGTTAATATGAAAAGAAATATAAGCTAAAGAGCACAATGGCATCACCAGGAGAATGAAACTTTCCACTTACATCAACCTGTATGTTTACATACTCACCTCCCTTATACCCTACGCTATTTCTTAACACTAACAATTGCCTGTTTTGTAAAGATTTATTCAATTTCTTAAAGCACATATTAAAAAGTTTTACCATAATCTATTAGCAAAAGGTTGCCTTAATCTCAAGGTCTTAATATATTCTAAAAGGCAATGTAAAAAACAACTCTGCCTAATCACCATTATTTAAGTCATAGAACTTTGAAGACATAATTTGTATGCTTTTGTATTAATTGGAACAACTAAAGCATTCTTCTGTGTCAACTCTATTTTAAATATTTTTTTTCTTCTTGATAATATGTTTTCCACAATTCAGTTTTGATCATATGTTCAGATTATAAAACTGCCTTTGACTAGAGGCTTCTAAACATGTGCACAATATTCTGACTCTCTACTGCAATCTAAAACGTGGTTAGATGATCTAGTTTGCTTTGTGTCCTTTTTACCCGAAGCTACAGAGAGACCGAAATGAAATTCCCAGTTCTTTATTAGTAAAAAGCACTGGAAAAGTGAAAAGATCTTGACAGAAATATTTTTCTGCCTCCAGTATGAGTAATGTATGTTGCATAAGCTATGCACTGCAAATCAGAGGAAGACTTCTTTGCCCTGCAAAAGGAAAAGTGAAATATTGAAAAAGGATTTTAATGAAATCATAACATTAAAATAGTTTTATATTAAATCCTGCTAATTTTCTATGTGAAGGCTGTGGAGTAAATGTGAGGAAACATTAAAAGGGAATTGAATTTGCATTCCTTATGTTACAGGCACATGTTTACATGACCTTTAAAACAGAATTAAAGCTGTATCATCAGCAGCTGTAGGCAATACACATTACTAAGGCAATCAAATCAGAATGCTAAACTAACTATAAAACATAAATTAAACTGATAGAGAATGATCTCAATTCACTGGGTTTATTTGCAATATACTTACACACAACTGGTCATTTCAAAGCAGTCTGCAGATCCACCAAGCCAGAAATACTCACACATATTTGAAAACAGAGTTTCCAGCTATAATTATGTAAGCTAGGGCCACTTAATTTTTCTCAGAAATCATTTATTAGAGCTAGCTTATTTATGATCATTATTTACTTTCAATAATCACCTCCAAAAGTAAGCATTTATCCCATACAGACACAGTTATTTTGTATATGTTGTACATGGCAGAGATAATTTTTATTTCCAAAAAAGTATTTGGCAGAGTTTATAAAGAATGTTTAAAGGTTACTAAAAAGTTCAGTACACTTCTTTCTACTCTAAACTTCATTGCATTGTTCTACCATTCCCCCACAATTTTCAGTAACTATATTCTGATTTCCTTTCATAACATGTACAAATATGACACCTTTTAAAATATGGTAGGGTGGATAATTAAATAGAGTTTTAAATCTGGTTTTCTAGGATGAGACTTGCTCTAAGGACATGCAAAGGGAAGAGTAAATATATTTATAATGCAAGACAACATCTTACTAGAAGTGTTTTAAGAAAGCTTTGTCTCTATATTTTTAGTAGTAAACTCTCAGAAAAAAAGCATATTATATATTTACCAAAATGTTTCTATTTGTGTGATGTGACTTATTTTCCATCTTTTTAGAAAACTTTGCAGACTCCTCAATAATATTGAAAACATACAGGATGTGTTTGAAAATGCAGTTCTTGAATTTGAAGGGCAAAAAAGAGGAAGAAATCAAATGCTTCTCTCCATCACTAATGTGGGTGTTTATACAGGACACATTTCAGTTTTCTACAAAGCTGTTCACTAAAAGTTAAAAGAAAATCAAACTTCTACAGTTCTAAGACTCAGCTTCTGCAAAGTTCAGACCCATACACAGAGACACAGACTTCAGGTCATTTTTGAAGTCAATTTACACTCAAATAAGTTTGTTCTTCAATATGTAAAGTTCCGCCATGTAATCTCTCTCTCTCTCTCTCTCTCTCTCACACACACACACACACACACACACACAGCTCTGTGCTGGAAGTGAGTAACCCCTCTCTCTCTCTCTCTCTCTCTCACACACACACACACACACACACACACATACACACACAAACAAGGTATATGTGATCCATTTAAGGGGGAGTGCCTATCTAATGTTTACATCAAGCACCTAGGGAAATACTGCATCTAAAGGTAAAGATGAGAGCATATATGACTGAATTATAGTTTAACTGAAAACAGGAACCCCAATCTCTCTCAGAAAGTACAAGTAGTAAAATGAGGGTAGGTAGGGGGAAATGAGATAACCTCATTCTCACAATGATTTGAGCATGTTAAGAGAAATGTTTAGGATGTAAAAGAAAAAAGTTAGTGTTATTTAGATTACCCTAAGTGTATTTCCTTAGAAGCCTGTTTCTCTTGCCCTTGTCAATTGTTCTAAACAGGAAATTTGTTCTTTTTAGAGAGGATTAGGGAGGTTTAAATCCTGATGCCCTCAATATGATCTGAGTTAACATTTTCGTGCCTGGATAAAATATTTTAAGGTGACTATCACCCCCAACACAAACACACACAAGAAGAATCATGGGGTGGCTGCTTTCCTAAGCACAACCACAAAGAAGAGTGTCACTGAGGCAGAATTCTGATAACATAGAGTGTCCAGCAGTAAAGGGGCTGGGTTGCACCTCCAAAGAAAGGTTTACCTGAATCATCTTACCTTTGTTCAGGCCCAGAGAGGGAGACACTGGGCTTAGAAATGTTTAAGGGGCCCACAGCACAAGGAACCAAGGGACAAAGATGCTCAGCCTAGGTCCAGGGGATCCCAAAAACTAATCCCCTGCTGGCTCCCAGAATCACACAGCTCACACAGCTGCCCTGGCACCGGCTCTTCTAGATCCTGGCCACCTCCCTCCATTTCAGACCTGGGAAATTCAACCTCCTCCTTCCTATGGAACCTGTTCCAAATAGAGGATGAGAACCTGGGGAGGGCAGGACAGTCAAAGTCAGGAAGCTGGCAAAATAAGTCCCTCTCGATAGCTGCTCGATTGTCAGAATAGGACCCATTCAGCCCAAGGAACTTTGATCTACCAACTTAGCTTAACACAGAATCTCCCAGTTGAAAGCCCCCACCCCTGTCCTGGTCCAACCATCTCTATTCAGGATGTATTTCAGAGGCTAAAGCAGGTCAAACCGCTGGGTTTCACCCAAGCATTTTAGCCAGGCTACCTCGCGGAGGTTAGGAATACTGTTGCTGCCCAGATCATGTCCCTTCCCACCAAGATCTTGTTCAGGACTTTGGGACAGCTTTTTGATTCTCTCTGACTTTGACTCTGCAGGTTTGAGCTAAAGGCCTTGGATTCATAACAACACCAGAATTGAGAGTGGACTAGCTGCAGAGTTGTGGTCAAGGGAACTGATCCAAGAGGAAAGACTTGATAAGGGCTGAGTTCTTTTTCTGGCCTCCTGAGCACTTGAACATCGAAAAAAAAATTCAAAAACTTCTTGGATATAAAATTTATACACACACAATGGCATGAATCCGTAAGCACCTAGAAACTGAAATACTAGATCAAATAGATCTCTTTCCCAAGCAGGCAAACCAAATTGATTCCCCCAGTGGAGACTGGGGCAAAGTGTGAAAAAGTGGCCCTAAGGAAAGTTACAGGATATGCAGATTTTTAAAAGCATTCAGGAAATCAACACCCCTCCCGGAGAACTAGCAGAGCAATTACAATAGAGGAAGCTCTTATATTCTTGTAAAAAATGGGTTCCCCAAAAGTCTTTGCCAAGTGGACTATTCCCCAAACACTTCTCTCTCATGTATTAGTTATATATTTATATTTGACATATAATACTTGATTTTAAAATACTTTTGAACACATTTTCTCTCAATCATTAGCCTGTTTCCTGACCAAATCCCTCTGGGAGAAAATAATTGCAATTTCTGAATAAATGATATGAGGTTAAATCTAGTCGCTTGCTTACTTTCAAATATGACATAGATTCTTGCCAATCATGGGATCCCAAAAAATAGTAACATGAGCCCCGAATACTCAGCTGATTACTTACTAAAAACCTTTCTTAGAAGGACCCCATATTTCAATCTGTATTCAAGTTTCCATAGTTCAATCACTTCACAGGGTGGGTGGGGGAGGCACAGAATGCTAGCCACTTCAAATAAATGCTATTCACTAAAGAAGGGAGACACAAGTGCAGGGAAAACACAATCTCAGTTATGAATGAAACCAGAGGAGCATTCTTACTATTTTGTATGTTAAAACCTTAATCTGTCCATGAAGAAGGAAGTGAATTGCAATTTGGGGCTGCTCTATTAACTAACAAAGTGATTTATAAACAGCCTCTAATGTTCAACTAGATGGACTTATTGACTTGTCCTATATATATATATATATACACAGAGTTTAAAGTAATAGATCATCTCCACAAGATCTCTACAAGATCAATTATGCAGCTGAAACTATTTTTTCTCATATTTAAATGCTCCTACCACTTCTGTTTTAAGAAAAAAAAAACATAAAAATAAAAAAAAATTTAAAACCACCACAATTTATAAACACTCTGCGACTTCACTATAGAGAGAGAGACATACAGATAGACACACACACACACACACACACACACACACACACATACATAGAGGTAATTCCACATTGGATCTGTATTTTTTTAAACAATTAACTGGACTCCTAGAAACTAGTCTTTATTTGTAGTACAAAAAAATGTGACTGGCAAATACCCATAATGATTTCTAGACACCCTAAATCCTAGTACTGGGAAAAATGATAGCCACATAGAATATTGCACAATAGCTCTGTCCCTATAGAGTTATTTCCCTGGGATCCTGTAAAATCTGGCAATGCCAAGGGAATAAATAAACTGTAAACTCGGAAGAGAAACTAAGAAAGGATTAGCTCGACCTTGCCTATGCAGTGGCACCGGTGGGAGCCAGTATCTGGTCTCTATTGTCCCTATCTATCTTCTAACCCTCCTGTCTCAGCCCCAGGCACAAGATACCTCAGCAATTCCCCCAGTGACAGTCGATTTTGCTAGCAAATGACTAGCATTCTTGAAGATTGTGATGAGTATTATATGTTATAAATAACCTTGTTTCTGCTGTAGTATTTGCTGTATGTTGTCACTCCATCCCTTCCTTTTCTCCTTTTCTCTAAATATCCTTTTCCTCATGTTCATGGAATTCCAACAGAGATCTTTTAAAAATGAATTAGTTGAGCTTGAATCAGTATTGGCTCATGTCTGCTAATGCCGTCTAATTTTTAAAAAATTCTCCCTTAGAATATTAAACACCCCTTACCTCCTTCCCCACGCAGTTTGCCAAGAAGAACAACAATAACAACAAGAACTATGAGAGCAGCTGCAGTAAACTGGCGCTTTGAAGGGCAGCTGTGTCTCACATTGAGAATGTCTCATGAGTTTAATGTACAGACATCAGGGAAAAGGTTTCTTTCTCTGTTGCTTTGAAGAGGCAGTTCAACTGTTTTCCATCCCTCAGGAGCTCCCTGGTTATAACAAGAATATGTGTACTTCTCCCCACCAAGCCCAATTTAACTCTCCCTGCTTCCAAAGTGAATTTATGTTGAAAGTAAAGTTTTCAATCTTAGGTCATGCGTATGTACTATGTCCTATCATCTGGAGCTCCAGTGTGCATTATACACATTCAAATCTGGCCATTTGGACTTCTTTCCTTAACCCCGTCCTCAGTTTCCACCAGCTCTAGCCCCAGATAATCTCCCCTTTCCCAATGTGTACTGATAACAAAAATACTTCATAATCTACACTCAAATATGAAATCTACAAGGGGCAGAATTTGCATGGCCTGGGCACTTTCTGAACCAGACTGGGCACAGGCTTCCCAGCCGCAACCATGCTTGGATGCTTCCACAGGAACAATCTGAACTACCTTAATCTGCTTAATTTCTTTTGTGAGTCCTTCCTTACTTAGAAAGGAAAGGGGGCGGGCAAGGGGTCTCTGAAGACTTTAAGGAGTTGTTTTATATCCTTAAATCTTGTGAGAGAAGAAAGTCACTGTGAATCCCCACATTACAGATAAATGAGTACAAGTAAATCAAGCTGATCTGACTTGCTTTTGAAAATTAACTGATTTGCCCTCTTAAAAACCAGAAAAGTGATAGGTAGTGTGGCATAGTGAGTTTGCGTATGAAGGCAATCCTAGGAGGATTGAAGCTGGTGCTGTGTCCTGGCCAGGCATGGTAATTGAAACCTGTGTTGCCTTGCTGGAGATAGGTGTGTAGACTTGCTAAAATTACAGTTCCTCCAATTCTAAGTCCGGCTTTTCTCTAGGGTGACTTTTAGCTGCCCTAGCCTAGCAGGGTTCACAGCCGTTATTATATTCAAACCATAGCTCTGGAGGGGGTGGGGTAAATCAGATTCAAGGATCTGGCAGTGGACTTCAAGATCTCAGTGAGAAGAGCACCAAGCTGTGTATTTATCCCAGCTCTCCAAGTGAGCACGTTTACCAGTGGTAAATTTTGAGTTTAAGGCAAAATGAAGTCTACCAAAAATAAGTTACCAGCTCTTTGCAACAGTAGCTTCGCATGGATTTATTTTTCTCCCATGTCCAGACAAGGTCCTCTATTGAATGAGGCTCTTTTATTTCGCATGGGGCAGGGGATTTGTGACCATGGTCCCCCCTTTTATTCCTTTCTCTATGGAAACCCAGATCATGGGGAGAAATATGCAAGGCTGAATAAAGAGAAGCTGCAGAAAGGAGCGCTTGAGAGCGGCATCTGTTACACTTGGGAAGTTAGACTGACAGGAGAGGGTGAAGGAAACCTCTCCAGTAGATTAGTTAGAACAGCAAGAAGATTTGACTATATGCAGATATTTTCTTCAAAAACAAAGAACCTTGCCTTCTTGTGTGCAAGAAATTCTATCTCAACTGCTAAAGGACATGTTTCCATCTGAATTCAGTAGGCAGTATCTATATTCATGAGAACTAATTATTAAAACGAAGAAGGAAGAAAGAAAAAGGAACGGAGATAATGGAAATAGAAAGACAACTAACATCGTTGTTTTCTTTTGCTCTTGACAGAAGCTATTCTTGTATTCAAAGACTGCAAAGCAACGGTGTGGAAAAACCTGTCGCTGGGTGCAGATGCCCATGTCCTTGACACCTCCCCCCTCAACCAGTCTCAGGGCAAAAGGTCTGAACTACTTTTATGCCTCTGGTCAAACCCCTTCGACCAGAACAGAAGCCACTGGCAAGAGGAAGGTAGATTGTAAGAACTCAACCAAGTCAGAATCGACAGAGGTCCCCCTTCTTCTTCATGCAAAAGTCTTATCAATTGATAATTGCCTTAACTCCTAGAATGACCAGGCTAAGATTTGAAACTCTTTCACCAAACACAGCTGCGATTGTGGGGGTGGAGAACCCACAACAACCTGGAAATGATCATGATCTTTTTGTTCCTATGGTTTCTTCAATGCGTTTCCCTCTGACCTCTAAACTGAACCCACTCGGACTAGCAAATGGATCCTTGAACAGGCAGTCTAACAGAATGCCTGAAAACTTTTATTTCTGTTTAATTTTATAAAGTTATTTTTTTCTTCATGAAGCAAAATTTTAGGCACAAATGAAATTCAATTCTTGCAAAGGAAAATATACACAATCGGCAGTAAAGAAATGGACATTCCTAGGCAGAAAGAGATGAAGAAAGTAGAGGATAGGAGGGGAAGGGAGCGGAGGGTAGAAAGGAAAGGGAAGGGAAAGGAAAGGGAAGGGAGAGAGGAAAAATCAATTTCTAGGTTAAAAGCAGATAAACCTTTACAATAGGACACCAGCAAATGAAAACACAATTTCAATGGGGGAGGAGGGGGGGAAGATGGCAAATGATCCTCTCTGCCAATAATTACTAAGTGCTTATCCTTTTTTTAAGAGAAAGAGAAAGAAAGAAATAGATCTCAACCAGATGCCAGGCTTCCCTGCATAATAGACACTTTTTTCCCCCCACATTTCCTAACATAAACTCTTACTGTTCTGTGCTATTAGAAGAAATTACTCATTTTACAGGAAATATACACTTTATAGCTACAAAAAGGAATGGCAGAATAAGCTCACCTTGTTTATATTTTTTCTCGTTTTCTTGCATTTTCTTCAGATCTGTCTTCTTAGAGAAACTAATGCCTTGATGACTTTCTGGTAGCTGCAAGCCTTCTTTTATTTCTGCTAAATATATGAAAATGTATGCAAATTTAAATCAAGCTTAACCTAGGAGCTCTTGCAATATATTTAATGGAATTTTAAACCAATAAGGGAACTCTGATGTTGTCTTCTGCAAGTGAAAATATAATTATGTAACTAGGTTATCTCCAAAATTATGCAATGAAAGGTCATTTTTTAACTTCAAAGATCATGCTAGGTATCCGATGTTGATGTTGCATTTTCTTAGCTAGAGCAAATCTAAAATCTTTGCATTTCACCCTACTCTGCTTACAAGCAATACCTTTGCACTGGGCTGTGGAGCACATAGACTTGTCATTCCCTAACTTATAAAAGCTTAAGTGGAGTACAAGTCTTTCCTCTATTTTCCTCTAACTAAAGTGTAAAAACAGTCCCGTCTTCCCAATCTGAAAGTAAATTCATGCTTGAAGGGAATGTCGGGGGTGGGGGTGGACTGATTGGAATAAAATAAATTTTTTGGAAAGAAAGAAAAAAAAAGGAAATCTACTAATTAACCAGCTAAATTGGGAGACAAATTTCAAAATAACTGATTTTTGCCGGTATCACATTAAATTTTACTTGCTCGGAATTTTCCAGTGCTTCATGCCTTAAATCAACGTGTTTTTGTTTGTTTATTTGTTTTCCAGAAGATTTTGAGCATCTTTTTCTTAGATGCTTTTTGACTTGTTATCGAGTTTCTTATAAATGAAAAATGAAATTAAACACATTGAAATATCTCTTATTGGGATCATGGGCTTCGATATTACAGATTTAGGGTCATACCGAAGATGTTCTTTTGCTCAAAACCTGGAGCGGGGTTTTGTTTTTCACTCTCTGGCACCCAATTAACCCAGAATGCCAAATTTATCTGAGAAAAATCCCTATCCGCTAAGATCTGGATGGCATTTAAACTGGTTATATTGTTTTCTTATTATTCTTCTTTATTTAGGTTAATCTAAACCTAAAGAGTTCTAAAATCATATCCCGCACCACACACACACATCTAAACCTAAAAGAGTTCTAAAATCATATCCCGCACCACACACACACGCACACACTCCCTCTCATCCTTCCCGCTCCTCTGCAAACATCAGCGAAGTCCAGGAGTGCTGGGAGGTTGGGGGAAGGGTTAACCAAATGAGCTCCTGCCACTCATCGCCAGGCAGCCAATGGAGCCAAAAGATTGATTCACTTCCTGCTTGGGTCTCACCGAAACTCTCAAGCTTCGCCCGCCTAATTTGGAAAGCTAGCTCGGCCTCCCGCTCCGCCATTGGCGGAGTTCGTGGCAGGCCAGGCCAAGACGCGATGCAATTGGCCTCAGCGGGTGCCGGTAACTCGCTCTCGCTGCTTTGGCTCCCCGCACAGTAGATGTCAAAGGCTGAAGCTGCTCCCTTTGCCACATTATAACTAGTAGGGGATCCTCACCGACCATGGCCACAGCTGCCTCGAATCCCTACAGCATTCTCACTTCCAGCTCTCTAGTCCATGCGGACTCTGCGGGCATGCAGCAGGGGAGTCCTTTCCGAAACCCTCAGAAACTTCTCCAAAGTGATTACTTGCAGGGAGTTCCTAGCAATGGGCATCCCCTCGGGCATCATTGGGTAACCAGTCTGAGCGATGGAGGGCCATGGTCCTCCACACTGGCCACCAGCCCCCTGGAACAGCAAGACGTGAAGCCTGCGCGCGAAGACCTACAGTTGGGTGCGATCATCCATCATCGCTCGCCGCATGTCGCCCACCACTCTCCGCACACTAACCATCCGAATGCCTGGGGAGCGAGCCCGGCTCCGAATCCGTCCATTACGTCGAGCGGCCAGCCCCTTAATGTGTATTCCCAGCCTGGCTTCACGGTGAGCGGCATGCTGGAGCACGGGGGGCTCACTCCACCGCCGGCTTCTGCCTCAGCTCAGGGCTTACACCCAGTGCTCCGGGAAGCCCCAGACCACGGCGACCTAGGCTCGCATCACTGCCAGGACCATTCGGACGAGGAGACACCAACCTCGGATGAGTTGGAACAGTTTGCCAAACAGTTCAAACAAAGAAGAATCAAGCTGGGCTTCACGCAGGCTGACGTGGGGCTGGCGCTGGGCACATTGTATGGCAACGTGTTTTCTCAAACCACCATCTGCAGGTTCGAGGCCTTACAACTGAGCTTCAAGAACATGTGCAAGCTGAAGCCACTGCTGAACAAGTGGCTGGAAGAGGCTGATTCATCCACAGGGAGCCCGACCAGCATTGACAAGATCGCGGCACAGGGTCGCAAGCGGAAGAAGAGAACCTCTATCGAGGTGAGTGTCAAGGGCGTACTGGAGACGCATTTCCTCAAGTGTCCGAAGCCTGCGGCGCAGGAGATTTCCTCGCTGGCAGACAGCCTCCAGTTGGAGAAAGAAGTGGTGCGTGTCTGGTTCTGTAATCGAAGACAGAAAGAGAAAAGAATGACTCCACCAGGGGATCAGCCGCCACATGAGGTTTATTCGCACACGCACACGGTGAAAACAGACACGTCCTGCCATGATCTCTGACTGCAGGAAGCCAGGAAGCGGCCAGCCGCACTGGGAGCAGCGCGGATTTCTTTCTCTTCCACTCTCTTCCTTTAATTCCAGCTTTATTATTGCTATTTCTCTCTCTCTCTCTTGTTTGTTCTTTTTTTTTTTTTTCTCCTTCCCTCCTGTTTTTTTTTTTTTTTTTCTTTTTCCAACAGAAGATTCTAACACGTTAAGAAAGGAAACACACGTAGGCATTCAGGCTTAACGCGGATACACAGTTGCATTAAGCATCCAGGCAGGGAGCTCATATCCCCTGCGTCAAGAAAAACACTTCTCTCCAACCTTTTCTGCTGATCAAATACGCTGTTTACTTTAAGTAAGGTGTTTTTTGTTTTTGGTTGCTTATTTTGTTTGTCTGTTTGTTTTGTTTTTTTGGTCGCTCCTCTCTAGGAAGAGAAAGGAGTGTAGTAACTTGGGGGCGGGGTAGGGATGGGGAAGGGGGTGGGAAGACAGATGTGTGCCTCTGAATAACCTTTCAGCGCCTTGGTTATAGCAGCTGTATTTCAGGTGAAATCTGTTTTACAATAGGCTAGTTTTGCATTTTTAAAAACTTCTATAGCGTTTCTAAATGTCTGCGGTGTTTTACTACAAATTGTACACAATATTTGTGAGATGATTTGTATCTAATCGACCACTTCATATTATTATTGCTATTATTATTATTCCTTCATTGAGCTGATGGTTTTTTAATTGCTTAGAATAGGAAGGAGGGAGAGATGTCTACCCATCCACTGATCTCCTATCCCAAATCTTTATAGAGAAGAGAGGATACAGTAGAGAGAGTTGTTGATGATATTGGAGATATATATATATATATATATATATATATATATATATATATATGCGTGTGTGTTTATTTTGTTTTTTTTTTTTCTGGGAGACAGAGTTCCTAGGGTAGGCAAAATAGGCAGCCGATTCTGTTTGCAAACCAGCGCACAGGAGGAAAGGAGATTTTGAAGGTTTCTGCCCTGTTCCCCGCGACTATGGAACCCCCACAGGCTTCTACAGCGCACCTGGATGCCCTAGAAGGATTCCGCTGCGGCGCCAGGCGGAAGAGGTCGGCTTGAGAAGCGGAAAGTGCTACTCACCTCCCGAAGTCTGGGGATGCCTGCACTTACTCCGAGCTCCCCACCCGCGCCGCACCTTGCCAGGCCAGCTGCTAGCGCGACCCTACTTTAGTCCTTATAGGCAAAGGATTTTGCTTTTATACGCGATTGCTCTAGCTGGAGACGGCGACCTGACCGGGACACGCTGGCGGCGGACTGGGTCAACGCTTTCCAGTTCGTTTCACCTCCAGTTCACCGCCTTCTCTGTGAGTGAGAAACCCTCAGGGAGGGGTGGCGAGGGAGTGGTGGACAGGCGTTCTCTGCTCTGTGCAGAACGTCAATGAAATGATAGGCAAAGTTTACAGGAATTCTGGTCTAGCCATGTACCATCTCCTCTCGTGTATATACCACTGCATCTTAGTGGACTCCATGGGGAGCCATCTCCGTGCCTCCAACAACCACAGCTGGTAGTAGCCCATGGTGAAGACTGAGTTAGCTAGCGAGCTCCTGGGCGGCTGGGTTTTTTCCTCTTCATCTTTTTGTCTCTGTGTGTGTGTGTCTGTGTGTGTGTGCGTGCGTGTGCAAACGTGTGTGTGTGTGTGTGTAGATAGCTGTGTGTATCGTATTATTATTTACAAAAAAAAAAACAACTACAAAAAATCCCACTGGTCTGTGTAGAGATCCAAAAATTATGCAGTTTCTGTGGCTTTATTGCTAGCTGTCATGTCTACATGCCAGGTCCACAGGCGCACCTCTTTCCCAGGGAGCACACATTCTGGACCAGACATGAACCCATGCACCCAGGCCCTGCTAGCCAGACCTTGCTGGGGGCTCGGTAAGTCCGGGCCACAGCCTAGCCCGACCTCCAGAGGAAGCTGCGGTAGACAAAGCTTCACACTACCTATAAGGACCTGAAAGCCTATGGCCCCCTTTTGAGGATCCCTAGTATGGGCTGCCAGGGCCATGGTGCACTGTGTCTCCCCCAGCTGCAGGTCGAAGAGCGTGTTTTAATTCGAATCCCAGATCTTTTTTTTTTTTTTTTTTCCTTTTTCTGCTAAGCTTCTGCATTCTGTTGGTAGTTGGGTTTTAGTTCTGGGATTTTTTTTTTTTTTTCCCCACAATGAGTTCACGTTTTACAACTGTTAGGGTTTTCTTTGTTTCGATTTTCTTTTTCTTTGCAGTTAAACACTCTGGTTCAAACCTGAGTTAACCCAAATATTTCTGCCGACTTTATAATTGTACAGTTTTGTATAAAACATTTCTGAAGTTATTAATTTAAAGAAAAATCATTTAGTTTATTCATTTAGTAACCGATGTATAATAAACGCTATTTTCATTAAGAGTTGCTTTTTCAACTATTTTATTCAAATTGCCTATTGAAGTTGCCAGCAATTATTTATTTTCAATAAATTCTGCGTTGTGATTAGAAGGAAATTCTTTCAAAGATGAGTTGGGTATCAAAAATAAAACAATTTGCTGTAATGTTTGATGTGAATGGTTTCAGTCAAAGGGTTTATATTGACGCAATATTTTATTGTTGTAAAAGATTTAAAAGGTTTAAATAAAACATTTTTCAAAAAAAATCTGTCTTTTTCTCCTGGTTTTTATTGTGTGGTACATGAAATGAAGCTTTTAAATGGGATCAGGTTCTGGATAAGCATCACATCCGCTTTGCTTCAGGTTAGAAATCATTAGTCATTTTAAAATTTTTTTTATTTTCTCTCACTGACTTTTGGCCTTTCATGCACTCACACAACATGGCCTGTTATCACACCGAGGATCATGCAAACACACCCCTAAATATTGGGGAAAGCTAGTGGGGCAGGGGGTTCATTTCAGGAGGTGAAATCTTATTAACGTTCTACAAAAGGAGTGTGTATCTCTCTTGTCCAGTAGATAGACCCTTCTCTGGAACTCCCCTTCATGAAACTGGACCCAGACCTTCATTGAGGCTTTCATTTCACCTAGCTGCAGCAACCCTTCTTCCTCTTCTTCTTCATTTCTGTCTGATGATCCCCTTCTAGTAGGTGAGTTCCCACTCCTCTGATGAGGAATGGAAGTGCTCTCCTTCTTAAGGCTTTCCCTGGGCCCAGAAACTTGGGTAAACTGACGTCCACTTAGTATTGTCCATTAAAGGCTGAATTCTGTCCATCCCTATGTGAATTTGAGGGGAAGAAAAATAGATTACATGGAGACATTTGGAGTAAAAGTTTGGTGAATTAATCTTCTTCTCACTCATACATAATATTTCACCTCTATTGTTTTATCACAAGGCCTTAAATAAAATAAGGGACAGTTACCTGTAGTGGTGGATGAGGAATACTTTACTAAATCAGAAGCAGTTATATTTTAAAGCTTTGTATGTACACATATGCCTTATACAACATTTCTGTAGATGCATTTTAAAGTAATAGAAAAGATACTTAACTATAATTTTCCAACAGTGAAATCCTCTTCAGTTTATACTCTGAAGTGTTTTTTCATTAGACAGAGCAAAATTATTAATTTTTAGTTATTTTAATACATTATAATTTTTTTCAGATTGCCTAATAAATTACAGTTTCACAGTGCACCATATACAAATATGAGTGTTGTGTATGAGATATGCTACATGTCATATGCATTCTAATAGGCCTATCTCTCTTTATAAATGATACTGGTTTTATAGAGATGTAGCTACAAGCACAAAAGCCATAGTCTTCAACCTGTTGGTTCTGTTTCCATTCTTATCACCTAATATCTTTCTCTTTCAACATCCTATGAACAGTTTTGAATTGATTAAAAAGTTATACCTTTGCTTACTAAAGCACACAGAAATCAACTAGCAGTACATTCTGAACTTTTTAATGGAGCCACAATAAGATATTTCAGGAAATACTTTATAAATATATACATATAGGCACAGTATTTTATCAGCATTTTATTATGTATTATTGATTACATATATTTATGCATATTTATGAGACTCGGTGCTTTTACTGCCTTTCTTTCTCTTAATATATAACTAAGCCCTAGTTGGCTTTTCTGATGACCTCCTTATCAAACTTGTTATATCTTTAACATGACATTTTCATTAAAATTCAGGGGATGTTGGTACCTCTGTCCGGGGTATTCTTTGTATTAAGGTTGACACTACCCAATTCCAAACCAAGACCTTTGTAGGAGAAGCAGCTTTAGCCTCAGTTTCTCTCAATTCTTCACAGCAGTGTGTCTCCCTCCAATAATAAGAATCCATGGGTGAAAAAAGAAAAATAATATATTAAATAATATATTTAATGGTGTGAAAGCAAACATGTTTCATTTCCATTACCTGGTTAGAGCAGTAGACAGTAAAGTGAGTATGAGGGTGGGGGGGGGTAGATGTGAAAAGAATAATTGTTTAGGTGTTACAGATAGGTGAATAATGTCAAATATGTGAATTAAGTATGTATTTGTATGTAGAATAGGTTGATAATCTGTGGATTTCTGCATACATAACAAATTTCTGCTTGCATACTAAATTCTGGTATATCTTTCCAACAATAAAAGAAGAGAATATTATACCTGAAAATTGGTTTCTTATCTTTAAAACAAAAAGAGTAGGGGAAACTATTGCCTAAATTAGTACATAAGCTATGTTTTTCTTTAATAAAATCAGACACTTCTCTCTTGGAAGTATTTAGCACTCAGATATTTATTTTTTCTGCTCCCAAGTCAGGATGCTGTTGTTGATTTAATTGCCAATAAGCTATAAGTAGAAACATAATTTTCTGTTTTTATACAAAATATCTTTTTAGTAAGGAGAGAGGAGAAGAAGGGGAGAATGCAGAAATAGAAAATGGTCAGAGGTTAAAACATAGTTTTCCAAAGGAAAGAATGTATTTTTCTACCTGTCAGATGTTTTTAAAGATGCATATAGAACCTCAGAATTGTGAATGTTATTTCTATGACTTGATATTTTAAAAGCCAAACATGTGACCCTTTCAAAAAAGTCTTGAAGAAAAAGTAACAATGCAAAACAATACTATGTGAATAGACACCACTCATCTCTTCTGTAAAATAAAAGGATAGAACATTCTTTATGCATGTCCTAAAATAGTAGTTTCAA